GAGAAAGAAATTGATGGATAATTATTCATAATAATAACATTAAACTATTTTTTACAACAAAGTTATATGAGAATATATTGTTTTCTCCCTTAAGGTAAGTAGGTAACTCTGAGTTTTTAAGATCCTAAACAAAATCCAATTCCAAGCGAAAAAATAAGGTTAGCTGTGTCTCTTGTAGCGTCGAGCCTTGCACGAACCAACCAAGGAGCCAAGCTCTCTCTCGTCTTTTATCTCTCTGTTTATGCGCTTCCTCTCCTCGACGCGGCTGATCGATTACTCGCTCCGTCTCCTCCGATCTCCACGCACCGCCGGTCCTATTCATTCTCAGTGGTTTTGCAGCAAGTCTCGATCGGCGACTACTCCAATGGCGACGGCGATTCCTCCTAACAGCGCCGTTAGCCACTCAGAAGAAGCCCTCGCTGGGAAGTTGTGGATCAAGTTCAACAGAGAGTCTCTCTTCTCTATATACAGCCCCTTCGCCGTCTGTTTAGCCGCCGGAAATCTTAAGATCGAGACATTCCGCCAGTATATTGCTCAGGATGTTCATTTCCTTAAGGCCTTTGCTCACGCGTGAGTTCTCTCTTATTATTCATCATTCTCGGTACTTGGGTATGCGATTAGATTCAACTGTAGAATTGAACAAAGATCTCTGTAGAATTGAAGAGAATTGGAAGTTGGTGAGTTCTTATGTAGATAGATAATAGTAGAGATTGAATGGGTTTAAAAACAGGGCTTGATATGGTCACTGAATGAATGGATCTGGAGTTTCTCATTTTGCTTTAAAACTCCATCAATTGTAGGTTTTTAGAACCCAAAGCTTTCACATATAAGAGATGGAATCATACATGGAGTATATGATTCATGCTTTTTCTCAACCACAAATCTAGTGGATAGGGTCAATTTTATCGAGTCCAGACCTCTTAGTTTTCGAGTTTCTAAAGCTGTTGTTGGTTAATCATATAGAGTGTAGATAGAGAAGAACGGTTTCTAAGTTTGGTGGGGGAGAAATATTAGTTTTCTATTGTTAAGGATTTTTTAGTTTGGTTAACTTGTATTTGTGTATGGCAAAGTCATGTGTGAAAGAAAGTAGATCAAGAGTGCTTTATCTGTGTCAAAATGCTTTTAAAGATTCTAGGTTACCTTGCAATGGTTTGAAAGATTTCCCAAGGCTGTTTTCACATTACATTTGGTTTGGTTGTTCATGTCTCACGAATGATTTGATTCTTATTCATCATGAGATTGAGAGGTCAGGATGTTGATTTATATTCTTCTACTTGCATTAGAAACAGTTATTATTTTTACGTTATCTTTTGGCTTTAGGAATTGATTAAATGTTTTGGTTTTGTTACAGTAAACGCAAAATTTTTATTTTTCGCTTACTGTAGATAAGATCTGAAAAGATGGTTAAACTTTGTATAATATCATATCTGCTGCATGCCTTTCTCTTTCATAGTTTTTCTTGTTTTCTTTCTTTATAAACTCTTTGTTTGTCTTAGGTATGAGCTGGCCGCAGAGTGCGCTGATGATGATGATGATAAACTGGCAATTTCTAATTTGAGGAAAAGCGTGATGGAGGAATTGAAAATGCACAACTCATTTGTACAGGTAGAACATAAGGTCTTTCTTGTTTTAACATGCTCATGTATTCATATTAACGGGGGGTAAAACATCACTGTTCACATGAGTCCCTAAGATGGAACTAACTTCATGTATCTAACTTGATAGATCTTGTTCTTTGCTTGGATTGGATTTATTCTTCATATCATTGCAGAAATAAACCCTGCAATTTAATTATTTTCATATGATCTCTCAATTTTTAAAAAAAAATTGTTATAGATAATTTCAGCCAAATCCCGGAAATAGAAGTTAAAGTGGTATATCTAACTAGAGGGGATTGTTCAATAGATCTTTAGATTGTGTTTTATGGCATCAGTCACTGAATGGTTGGTTTATATTTTTGAAATAGAGGCTAAAGATTTTACAAATGCCTTTTCATCAGCAGAATTTGGTGAATAAGTAAAGTTTAAGCCTTTTGGTTCTGAATTTTAACCGGTATTAGCGAAAGTATCACTGTCTTTTACTTCATAACTTGGGGAGTATAATGAGAAAGAGTCTTGCCTGGATATTTATCAAAACTATGGCTTTTACATGGGGCTTCCTCATTCTGGATACGGAATGTTTCATGTAAATTGATGCTTCTAAATAGTGAAAGAAAACTGCTCTCAAGTTCTTTGCCAGCTTTAATATTTTGGTTTTATTGACATATAGTGGATTGGAGATCAGCATTATTATGATTTTTGATATTCTCAGTAGAAATTTTGTTTGATCCTTGCAGGATTGGGATTTAGACATCAACAAAGAAGTGAGTGTTAGCTCGGCAACTTTGAGATACACCGAGTTCTTGTTAGCTACAGCATCCGGAAAAGTGGAAGGACTCAAAGCTCCCGGCATGCTTGATACTCCATTTGAGAAAACGAAAGTTGCTGCCTACACGCTTGGTGCTGTGACACCTTGCATGAGGTTGTATGCCTTTCTTGGTAAGGCGATTGGAGCACTTCTAGATCCGAGTGAAGTGAACCAGGCCTACAAGAAATGGATCGATAATTATTCTAGTGATGCTTTCCAGGTATGTAATAGTTGTATGTTTCTGCATAATTCAGTTAACATTCAAAGGTTGCTAGTACGATCTCCGAGAAGATGTATCTTGTTTACTGAATGGTCTTTTTCCATTTACCTAGGCATCAGCCAAGCAGACTGAAGACTTGCTTGAGAAGCTTAGTGTCTCCATGACTGGCGAAGAACTAGACATCATTGAAAAGTTGTATCAACAGGCTATGAAACTTGAAGTAGAGTTCTTCCATGCCCAACCACTTGCTCAGCCTACCATAGTTCCACTGCTCAAGAACCATTTAAAAGAAGACGTGGTGATATTTTCTGATTTTGATCTGACTTGCACAGTTGTTGATTCTTCTGCTATTTTAGCTGAAATTGCAATCGTAACTGCTCCAAAAGATGATCAGAGTCGATCAGGGCAACAAATTCATCGGATGCTGTCGACTGACCTTAAGAGCAGCTGGAGTCTACTTTCTAAACAGTATACAGAGCATTATGAAGAGTGCATCGAGAATATTCTGAATAAGGAAAAAGGTCAGACTCGTATCCTTTCAGTTGACCCAGTTACAACAGCTACACTGATTAATCCGGCCTTTATGAAGCGATTGAGGTTTCTTTTTGGTTTTTCTTTTAATGTGGGAAATTTGTTCTTCCATTCTTTTGCAGCGGCCAAGTTTGACTATGAGGGTTTATGTAAAGCACTGGAGCAGCTCTCAGAGTTTGAGAAGAAGGCAAACAATCGAGTGATCGAGTCTGGTGTACTTAAGGGCCTTAATCTGGATGATATTAAGCGAGCTGGGGAAAGGTTAATTCTTCAAGATGGCTGCATCAATGTCTTCAAGAAAATTTTAAAGACTGAGAATCTGAATGTCAAACTCCACGTGCTTTCATATTGTTGGTGTGGTGACCTCATCAGGGAGGCCTTTAGTGCAGGTATGTGCCAAAATCTGTAACTTTGTGATTTTTGAATGATGAAAATATTAAAGCTAAAACGATCTCCTGTTTACAGGTGGAGTAGATGCAGTGGAAGTACACGCTAATGAATTCACATTCGAGGAATCCATCTCAACTGGTGAAATCGAAAGAAAGGTGGAATCCCCGATCGACAAAGCTCAACAGTTCAAAAGCATCATACAAAGCAGAAATCAGAAGAAAAGCCAACTGACTATTTATATTGGAGATTCAGTGGGTGACTTGCTCTGTCTCCTCGAAGCGGACATAGGGATAGTGGTAAGCTCTAGCTCGAGCCTCAGGAGAGTGGGAAGCCATTTTGGGGTCTCATTTGTGCCATTGTTCTCCGGAATTGTCCAGAAACAGAAACAACACAAGGCTGAAGGAGAATCATCATCAACCTGGAAGGGACTCTCTGGCACACTTTACACGGTTTCAAGCTGGGCCGAAATTCATTCCTTCATTCTTGGATGGGAGTAACCGGCAGGGGAATATTTGGCGTATATACTGCCTGAGTGGCCAGTTTTATGAAGAGCCACACATATTTCAGTCTTTTGCTTCTAAAATGATGCAAAACGCATTATATATTTTACGAGATTATGTTGCTCTTTTGCAGTGATCTCTTGTTCTGGCATTCGACAGCAAATTGAGATGGCACCTAATGCTTGGACTCAACAATTGTGAACATATGTGTTTCTATGAAAATGGCATAAAGATTGGCATATTAATATCTTGTTGAAGACTTTTACATTATACTTGATCTTTCTTATGTTGATGACAATTGACAAGCCTATAATGGAAGCAGAAAAGTTTGCGATCGAAGATCAAGAAGAAGCGAAACATATTCTTGAGATGAGAATTAGTAGAAGCAAGGAGGAGGGTTTCAAGTTGTCACAAAGAATAAAAACAAGATGGATCAGATTTTACATGCCTATGTAATTGGCAACCTTATTTATACGTGATAGATATATA